AAAAGAAGTGGCCTAATTGGACTGCAGTGGGTAAGCGGACAGCAGACTTTGACCTAAAACTGTGACGCTGTCGCCCAAATTTGCCTTTTATTTTGAAGTCGAGTGAGAAAAATCACATTTCGTTTCTTTTTTTTTGCAAGTCAGTGTAAGAAAAGCTGGATTCTCGGCTTTGTAAACGCAAAGCTGGAGACAGTTATTTGAAAGTGATGCCACTCTATAGCTGCTTGACATTATCAGGCAGCTTAAAAGTCCTGGAGGCCTTTAGATCAGCTGTGAATGGTGTTTAGTCGGGATTCAGGCAGCAATGCGTCGCTATCACACTGGATCGTTTTACCCCTTTGAGACGAATCAATCTGATTGTGCTGCCTCAATCTCTCTGTCACTGGACGCTGGGGTTTATCTACACTGGCATTTAAGCTCATTTAATTGCCTCCTAACTTTAGTAATTCTCTTGTATCCTCTGATGAAAGCTGTTTGTTGAGCACAGCTGTCCACTCGCTTTCTGTTTTTCTGCCTCCTGCTTTCTTTATTTCTTTTCTCGTGTCTCTCATTCAGCACCGTGCTATTAAAGAATCCAGTCAATGGGAGGAATGCACTTAATTTTATACCAAGATTTTAGCTGCTGCTCTCGATCCCTTCAGAGCAGACAAAAGAGCCTTGATGCTCTATGAACGTGTCCTGGGCAGACAGACTGAGGGCTACGTCTGACCTTGCAGCGTGTGCATGTAAAGGTTTTAGCTCCCGTCTCTGGCAGTCACACGATTAAATACGCAAACACTGTAGTTGCTCGTTATGGCCACTGCTCCGTTCAGGGTTCAGCGGTTTGCTCGGCTGCCCTTTAGCAAATGTCGTAGAACGAGTTCAAGTTAAGCACTTAACTTTTAGCATTACATCAATTATCGTGCTAATCTTTAGCATGTTGTCCTGCGTTTAGCTGAAAATATGTATTGTCTTTGGTGGAAGAATCCAGACAAATACACAGAAAAATGCAAAAATATTGATGTGACGAGTGTAATGTTGTCTTTGTGTTGAAGTTTGAAAGCTCTAGCACCGGGTCAGAACCATTTTAGATTCAAGAAATTATTGGAAAATATATATTTTGACTGTCACATTGCAAGAATATGGCTGTAAATATAAAGCCACGAGGAAACCTGTGTTTTCTACTAATTGCGGAGAGCTGTACTTACTCATATAGAAAAATTAAAACCACTGTTTAGACTGTGGCTCAGTGTTTGAATTAAAGGCATACTGGTTATCCAGTACCAGTTACCAGACCAGGGCTTCCAGATGAGGGAACGGGAAGGTTTTCAAGTTAATGTTGAGAAAGGACTGGATGTGCCAGATGTGATAATAAACTATTAATTAATTCTTCATTCTATGAATCTCCTCCTCCTTCTTTCTCTCAGTTCTTTCTTCTAACCCCGGGACACGTTTCAGAGACAGAAACGCTCCTTGTTTAAGCCCTGAGCTACACAATAGCCCTTAACCTTTATTATCACCTCACTTTGTCAGCACCTCCAACAAAGACACGCTTCTACTTGTTTCCATACATTTTCATGATGACCTTTTTCAATTCCCGAGTCTGTAATGTGGGAATGTCAAGCGCTTTTCTTTTCAGGCTAAGACACAGTATTTTCTCGTGTAGTATCTGTTTCTTCGCCGACCCTCCGAGCCGCGGCGCTTACCGTCGTTGAGAGAAAGCCTTTGAGCTCGAGTGTGCTGATGCGTCTTTCTTCCTACAAACACACCTCTGCAGGTCAACAGCTGACTAAGTGGTCAGATCAGATTGGAAAGGCCCGAAGGGTGGATTGAATCAGCACGTTTCAACGCTGGAGCAGGTTTCACGGGCAGACCGAGCCGAGCATCAGTGTGCTGAATACAAGTCACAGAAAAATACGAATTAAAGAAAAGTTCAGTGTGCACTTAGAAAGATGAGTAAAGATTACAGTTCAAAAAGATATGTATGTTGTTGGTGCTTAATGTTGAACAGTTTCTGCTCAGATAACTATAATAGTACAGACATGTTAGATGGTGGTGGGCTTGAACGTGGGCTTCCAGCGTGCTGCATATATTTTCCACCCAGCAGTCGTGATAACAGTGTGTGAATATAATATCTGCCGTGGTTCTGTGATCATGTACCAGGCCGTTTAAAGTACCTCAAAAACATACGTTTGCGCTATCATTACAATGTAGTCGCTAAGGGTCCATTAGAGGGACTTTATGTACCATAAAAAATGTGAATCTTCTAGTAGTGGGGCCACGTTAATGCAACAAGAAGTGTGAGCGCATCCAGATGATGTCCTGAAACGATGGTTGTTTTTGCTCTGTTCCTGTCAAAAAAAAAGTATAATCGAGAGCTTAAATAAATTGTGCTGAGGGAAAACTTCTGATTTCTAAGAAGCAAAGCTTAAAAAAATAGCTTTTATTTTGGAAGATATATAATATATTCACAGTTGGATGCGGAGACTAAAACACCTTCCAGACAGCGGCGTCATGAACAAGTGAGACTTCACAGGTTCATCAGTGAGCTTCAGAGATGCTGGTAGGTGGTTCTGGTCACCCTTCACCAGAGCCAAACTGGTTTCCGCCCATCTCAGCTCTTTGTGATAAATTAAGCTAACAAGCTTCTGGCAGGAGCTTCATATTTACCAGACAGAGAGAGAGAGAGAGAGGTTTGAATCTTCTGATCAAAACAAGAAAGCATATTTCCCAAAATGTTGAATTATTTACACGAGTTTTGAAAAAGATATGTAGTGTTAATAGAATAATCTCATATCATTGTAATTATATATGGTTTTATTATGTTATTACTATATTGGTAACATTAATGTGGAAAGCTGGATGGAGTAGAAGTACAATCTCCTTCTTTGCTGTTTTTTTTAATTTCATTTATTTATTTTTGCTTAAACTCTACACAGCGACATATTCCACCCAAAGACTTTAGTCTCGAGTTTACTGTGCACCTGTGATGGGCAACATCACATCTAATCAAAATCAATTTGTTTGACTTTAATGCTACAATTATACCTTGGGGGAAGAGGAGATTAAAGCCTGTAGTCTTTGGATGATTGAATTAGAACATGTTATTAAAAAGGATAATGAGTATGTGAAAGCAAACATTAGGCTTTGATTACTACTCTCATCAAGAGGTAATATTTAGCTAAGTGAAAAACAGCTTATTAAATGTGCGCGCTTATCAGGCAAATAGTATTGGTAAATTAACCAGCAGCTCTATCACACGTCTCTGGATTGTGTTTGCCCACAAACGAGTTGTTTTCCAGCCATTAATTAGAACGGGGATCTCTCCTCCCAGGCCTGAGAGCAGGAATGTGAGCTCTGTGTGTTGTCGTCGGTTTGCTTTTAAACACAGAGTTATGTGAACGCGTCGGTTGGTAATTAATAGCTTAAAACGTAGCCTTGGTCACCCGACGTCACGAGCAGACAGGTGTGCAGTCTGCATTGTGATAGCGAGCAGGGCTTATTGCAGTTTGGCCTTTTGAAGTCTGAACTGTGTGTATTTATGTTAATGTTTCCTGCATGTTGTGCTTTAAAATAAGTCAGAATGTTTTTATATATTCTATTATAGAAAGTTGCATCTCTAGTAGAACGCATATGAACTTATATTAGCAGCAGCAGAGGTAGTAATAGCTAAAAAATATGCCCCATACGCAGCAAAATGCTCTGAATATCAGTCTAAATATAAAGCAGCTCTGCAGCTTGTGGAGCCTCGGATGCTGCATTGTAGGCAAAGTGATTTGAGAGCCCTTTTTTTTTCCCAGGCAGGTAATTTCATTCTTGGAGGTCGATGTTGGGTGATTTTGGGGTCGCCCATGTAGCCGGTCCCCACTCTAATAAAACCAGGGAGCGGCGCAGGACCAGGAGGCTAAAAACCCCCATTAACTTCTTTCCCATCAACATGGGGACAGGTAACCTAATGACCCTGCAAAGCCGCCGTGCTCCCCGATCACGTGACCTGGGAGCTGCAGAGCTGATGACTAGGCAGCTGTAGTCAGGCATCACTCAGAGAGAAAACCTGCCTCCAGACCTCCAGGAATGAGAGGAAAACAGATTGTTAGTTTGGTAATGATGTTGTTTTGTGACCGAAGCAAGGCCTGGAGGGGTAGAAATTGACCTTTAGTTACATATATAGCAAGTTATTTAGAGGTAAGATTTAACATATGTATATTCTGTGACTAGTCACCAGAGGGGCTGCAAGGTGGCTCCGAGCTAGAAGATCCCCTGGGATCTTTCTGCATGGAGTCCCCGTGCAGCGTGGGTTCTCTCCGGGTTCTCCGGCTTCCTCCCACAGTCCAGAAACATGCTGAGGTTAATTGGTGATTCTAAATTGTCCTTAGGTGTGAATGTGAGTGTGCTTGGTTGTCTGTCTCTAAGTGTAGCCCTGTGATAGACTGGTTACCTGTCCAGGTGAACCTGCCTTCACCCTGAGTCGGCTGGGCTAGACTCCAGCCCCCCTTAGTGAGGATTAAGCGGTGTATAGATGATGGATGGATGGTTGGATAGTCACCAGAGGATGAACCCTGATGTTTATAATGACATTCTGAACCTTCCACAGGAGATACCTTCAGGCTAGAGTTGTGTACAAGAAATATCAAACTCCTCCTCTAACATGTTCATGCTCCTCAGAGGATCATTTCTCCTCTGTTTGAGGCCTTCACTGAGCTTTCCACTGATGGTATTTCTGGCTAACCACACAGACGTATGATCGGCAGAAGCCAGGAGATTGTAATCAGATTGAATTCATGCTGTGAATGGGTTGAGTTTTCTGGATTTGAATGACACCACGGTGTTTCCTTTAATCATTTTAAGCCATGACTATCAGGATGTCGTTCATTCTGTCCATCACTGTTCTATTGAATACTGTCACCTCACAGCGCGGCTCGTGGGCTTTTAGATTTCTGGCCTTATCGTTTAATTAATTTCTTTGCTTCTCCCTCCTGCTCTCCTCTTCCCTATCCTCCTCCCCTGCTCTCCTGCTTTAGTGGGACGCCATCACAGAGATGGACGAGCACAACCGACCCATCCACACGTTCCAGGTCTGCAACGTGATGGAGCCCAACCAGAACAACTGGCTTCGCTCCAACTGGATCTCTCGACAAGCCGCCCAAAAGATCTACGTGGAGCTTCGCTTCACGTTGCGCGACTGCAACTCCATCCCCTGGGTGTCTGGCACCTGCAAGGAGACCTTCAACCTCTTCTACCACGAGACGGATGAGGCTCACGGCGTCAAGTTCAAGCCGGCGCAGTACACCAAGATCGACACCATCGCCGCCGACGAGAGCTTCACTCAGATGGACCTCGGAGATCGCATCCTCAAGCTCAACACGGAGGTGCGCGAGGTGGGACCCATGACCAGGAAGGGCTTCTACCTGGCGTTCCAGGACATCGGCGCCTGCATCGCGCTGGTGTCGGTGAGGGTTTACTATAAGAAGTGTCCGTTCACGCTGAGGAACCTGGCCTCGTTTCCGGACACGGTGCCTCGCGTGGACTCCTCCTCGCTGGTGGAGGTGAGGGGGGCGTGCATCGACCACGCAGAAGAAAGAGACACACCGAAGCTGTTTTGTGGAGCCGATGGGGACTGGTTGGTTCCTCTGGGAAGATGCGTCTGCAGCGTGGGCTACGAGGAGATCGACGGTTCATGTGTTGGTGAGTTTTTCAAACTATTTTTTGTCATTTACTTTGCTTTTTGTTGTCCTAAATGTAGCATCCATGAACCTTAAGGAATTCTATCTCGAGTCTTCCAAAACATTTGTTGGAGAAGCTGGTCCTGGTTGAAGGTCATGTGAACCTTTCCAGTTAAATGCTTTGGCTTATAGCTTTGTAAGAGCACCAACCTGCAGCTTTAACGTGACCTGTGGTATTTAGTTGAAGATGTCGAGGTTGTGTCGTTGCTGTTTGTCTCCTGGCAGCTTTTCCCAACTCATGTGCAAACCAAACAGCTGTAATTTGCCCTCACAATGAATTAATCGCTTCCTGCTCATTGCTCAAGTGGTCAGAATGATGCTAAACCTCAGAATTCACCTCATAGCAAAGCAAATTGGCAGTAGATCTTTTTTCTTTTTTTCAACCTGTAACTGAGGGAAACATTAATTTCTAGAACTATTTGCTGTCTGAAAACTGCGGCGTATTGCGGCTGTCAAGCAGGAGGAACATCCACTACCGTAAACACCACGCACCTATATTTTATCTTTTCTCGTATGCCTCCCTCCCTTGTACACCGTCTACAGCGCATATTTCCTCCTTTTATCGTTCACAATCTCTTGGCTGCTTCATTTATTCACATAATCTCTCATCAACATGGCAAGACATTCAGCGTGATACATCAACCCCGGCCAGGAAGTCAATTTCTTATTTGGTCTATATGACACGAGTATCGATGCATCCACCAGTCAAACAGATAAGTGATGTGGATAGATGAAGTGGCTGATACAATATCCGCAGGACTTTATTTCCATCTCCTTCGTTTTAACAATGCATACAACAGTTAGAAAAAAGGAAAATACAGAATCTTTATCATTCTGTCACGACTGTCCGTCTTCCTACAAGCCCGGGGAGTCCAGGTATACGCTCAGTCTTTCTGCTGCGCTGCCGTACTTCAAAGATTCGCAAAATAATGTAGTTTCTTTTTTCTTTTTTCTTTTTCAATTTCATCTCCCGCCTTCATTCCCCCTCATCACTTATCTGTCATTTGCCTTCTCTCCCACCGTTATTACTAGCTGCTAACTCTCTGGAGATTAAGCTGAGATAATGTGAGAGGTTTGGCGTGTTTGGGATCGTTAATGTGGCATCACAGAGCTTCCCTGATGCTGTCTTCATGTCACACATGCATGCAATATGAAGCTTGTCTAGTCAGTCCGATAACTTCTTCTGTTTTCTTTAACCAAACTTGTTCTTTCACATTAATTGCGTCGTCCTTCTTTTATGAACTTTACTCTTTTTTGGCCTTTTCGCTACTGCAGGAATTACAACAAAAAAAAAATGTTTTTGCAAGATAAACTCTGCAGTAACTCTGGTTAGCGTGTATGCAAGATAGCGACCGGGCTTTCTATGATAACACAAACAGCACACAATGTTATCTAGATGTAGAAGAAAGCCCAACGCTTGCTCCCGTTCAGATTCTCCCAAATTGTTTCCAGGACAAAAGTATTTTAGTGCGTCTCTGCTGCTGAGTTTTCGTCCATCTTTGCTCGTGATTTAAGACCCAAACACGGTGATCTTGTTGTGTTTATCTTTGTAATGTATAGGGTTGGGAACATAAAACAGTATGATAGTGTGAAACATAGTGCTGCGTCCAATATTTAAGCGAATCCACGCATTTTTCAGAGGAGCTTAAGGATCGAACGCTGTTGCCGCATGCTTGTGCTGAAGTATATTTTGCAGCGTATCTGGGTGATTTATATACACAGAGAAATGGCTGCGTGTGTGTGTGTGTGTGTGTGTGTGCGTGTGTGTGTGTGACTGTGACGAGGCATGCGTGGAGGTATGTTGCCGTATATATCAGTAGTCCGCCGCCCGTTGTCCCACCGGCCACCTCGGTGTGACAGATTACCTCAGCTGGCTCGGTAGCGGTTTGATCCTCAGCTCTCTGATATGAGCTTTGGGTTATCGCCGGCAGCACCACTCACTGGGAGGGCTACCTTCAAGACGCTTCAATGCAGCTTCTCTTCAAACCGAGTGAAGGCCTGATGCCAGGTCAACAGATACACGACTCGCGGTGCCTATATCTCTCATCTATAAGGGGCCTAATGTGTTTACTGTGAAGTGTTGGAGATAGAATTTAATTACACACAATTCACTGACTGAATCTAATAATCCTGATTAATAGATAACAACAACCATACAGTGTTACAAAGAGCTAACTTTAACAATTCCTTTAAATATTTAAATCTTACACGAAGGAAAACACCGGCGCTGAAAGTCCTAGCTGCTGGACACCAACCGAAACTTTCTGCATCCGACTTTATGACATTTACTCGGACTTGATTGAGAAAGTGTACCGAGTGAGTTTTCACCAAACTGAACTAGATGTGCGCTAGATGGAAGCATTGGCACAAACTGAATGGCAAAGTGCATTTCTGTTCCCTTTCAGGAAGCGATCCGTCCATCCTGCATCACCACAAACCGCAGCTTTTGCTTAGTGCTGTTGTGAAAAATGATTTCAAGACTGGTTTTCTCCCACCATCCGGACCCAGATGTCCTTGTGCAGTTGATTACGATTCATCTTGTGACACAGGTCGGCGTGGCTTCCCAGCTGCACTTGCAGCTGCATCGCAATCAACAGGCCAGGGGTGAAACTGCAGCTGTGATTAGAGCCCGACTTTTACAAAAACGGCTCTGTCTTTCACGTCTGTTCTTTTAATATAATTTCTCCATTCCTGTGCATTAATTGCGTGACAGAACAAGCTTAGCGAAAGGTGGATAAATTCGCTCGCGAAGACTTTGGGTAAAACAGATGGCAAAGTCAATTTGCTTTTGAGACAGTTTGGGATGGATTTGCAGGCTTATTCTTTATCCCAGAGATAAGGGCATGATGTGGTGCATCCCTGCTGTCTGCCCCGTGTCTTTCAGCTGTGTCTCATGCCTTATGGACCTGCAAATGAGTGTTCGGCAACATAGCACCACAAAATCAATCGGGCGCAGCATATTAAAACATTTGAAAAGCGCAGTGTGTTAACGTACTGCAGGCAGCATTCAAATAGCCAGAGGTGCTGCAGTATTCACCGATTAAATTTAAAGTTGTTTGCTGTCTCTAAAGTCCGTCTTAAGCAGCTTCTTCAGCAACATGTAAGAGGGAACGTTACCGTAGGTCCTTTGTTTCCTCTGCAGTCGGACTCTTTAACATGTTTAACGCTGTCGTTTCTCTTCACAGCCTCTCATGTGCAACAATCATTTAACCCCGTTTGGTTTTCCCGTATCTTCCGAGTCAATAGCATCGCTTAATCACGTTATTTTCCTGCCACAGCTCCTCCAGTTTGCAGCAGCATCATCTAACGCCGTGTTCGTCTCCTTGCAGCTCTTCCGGTGCCACAGTGTCTCTTCACGCTGGTTTTCTCTCTATAGCTCTTCGTAAACAATCAAAGTTCGCCGCCATACAACCCAACAACAGAATGGAAAACTGTGTTCTCTCTCTACAGCTCTTTCAGATCAGTCAACACAATACTGTTGTCTCACAGCTCTTCATGTGTAATAGCATCATTTTTAACAACGAGTCTTTCCCCCAATAGCATCTTTGACTGCAGTAACAGAACTGTGGGTACGTTAGCCTCCATGCCGAACATGTGCAGACGTGTTCATGTAAACTCACTATGTCATCTATATACACACATCCATTGGTAGATTCATCATGCCTGGTGTGTTACCTCCTTTATTCTAACTTTATTTTTTAGCCTTATTGTCCTTTTGTAGTTCTTGTCCTGCTTCTTTCATGCTTTCTCTGTATCCAGCTGCTATAACGAGTCCATTTCCCCAGTGAGGGATCAACAAAGTTTATCTTATCTTAAAAGGCAGTTTTGTCACATCATATCCATCAAAGAGGTCAGAGGTTGAAGCTACAATGACCACAGCCTGCCTACCTGTCAGCATCCCGGTGGCCCCAACAGACTACAATAATTCAAAATCACTTCCTTCTTCCTTTCCTCCTCCTCTTCTTTCTTTCTCCTCCGCCCGTTGCTCTCTCGAAAGCAGATTTCACAGTTGGGTTAAGTTTAGCCCTTTGGGCAATGTGATGGCATTTTACTGCAATGTCAGCCCTGAAATGCAGCTCCTGTTCATTGTTCCAGGGATCAAACAGGCTTCGTTATTAAAAACCTCTGCACAAAGTACCACTGGTGCACCTTGGGCATTGAAAGAGAAGACTGAGGTGGCGGTCTAAGCCAAAGCTTCAATCCCCAGTTTACAACCAGCTGGTCTTTTAAATGCTACGGCTGCTTGACCAGGCGGCAGAAATGACAGCTTTGAGTGGGCTGTGATTTTAGTGAAATGCCGTTATTGATAATTTATGTGGCGGCTGTAAATCACACAGGTTAAAGCCTCGAGTCTGGATGTAAAGCATGTGAAGATAAAGAAACGATGACGGTTTCCAAAATGTTTAACGGAGGATTAAAGGGTGCATCAGATTCCCAAAGTTCTCCCTGTGACTTTATTTTTGTTCGGGTCTTATAAATAGTTATGCTGATAATTTTATATTTTAAATTCTTTTCCCTAGATAACCCCTAACACAAGACCAACACAGATATTTGACAATCACTCCCCAGTTACTTTTATTCATCCCGGAGAAAAGATGAGCTGTCTGAAGTCTGAATAGAAGCTTTAGCTCCACTGAGGTAAGAATAAAGGACATGCTCTCCATCCAGCTACAGCCAAAAAAAAACCTTTTTCTCTGTGTCAAACCAAGTGCATTTGGACACAGTAGTGTTTTAATCCTCTGTCCATTTCCTGGATAAGTTTGGAGTGTCTGTGTGCTGCTTTGAGGCTGATGTTCCTCCAATCTAGCAGCTGACAATAACTCCTTCCTGCTTTCTGTGCTCCTCCACGAGTGCAGGCCGGCAACCTCCTCATTTCACCACAAAATTTCTTTTTTTACTTGTTCTTTTTCTCTTACATTATTTCATAAGGTCGGTTTCACATTTTCCTGAATTAAGGCTTGG